AGTACCTCTTGCACCAGAAGAGCTGTGGCAGCCACAAATGAAGGCAACAAGGCCACCCCTGAGCTACTATGTCCAGTTCCTCACTGAAGTTAGCCATGGGTGTAATACAGCAGGACAAAAGATAGTGGTGCTGAAACCCCAGGGCAGCAGCCTTTTTCTCAGTGACATATAAGTGAAACTAATGAAACTGTCATTGGAAAGGGAAACTCAGAGTGCAGGCCTGGGCAAGGACCTGCTTCCGTTCATGAAAAGGTCTTTTGGGCTTGCATGTCCATGCCAATTCTACTAAATTCAATAACTGGGTCTCCTTAAGAACATCATAAAGAGGCTTAGCAATCTCACTATATCCAAGAATCCAGATGCAACAGAAGCCAGTTACACCCAGGGATGCTCTCAACTGCTTCAAGGTCTGTGGGTGGGGGTACCCAATTATATCCTGAATCCTCTTGGGACTAACAGATCTGGTTCCTTTCTTTAAGATGAGGCCAAGGTACTTAGCAGAGGGTTGGCAGACTTGAGCTTTCTCCTTTATTTATTTATTTATTTTTTTTGAGACAGTCTCACTATGTTGCCCTTAGTAGGGTGCCGTGGCGTCACAGCTCACAGCAACCTCAAACTCTTGGGCTTAAGTGATTCTCTTGCCTCAGCCTCCCAAGTAGTTGGGACTACAGGTACCTACCACGATGCCCAGCTATTTTTTGGTTGGAGTTGTCATTGTTGTTTGGCAGGCCCGGCCTGGGCTCAAACTTGCCACCTTCCGTGTATGTGGCTGGCACCCTAGCTGCTGAGCTACAGGCGCTGGTGCTGAGCCTTTTTTTTTTGGAGACAGTCTCACTATGTTGCCCTCAATAGAGTGCTATGGCATCACAGCTCACAGCAACTTCAAACTCTTAGGTGTAATTCTCTTGCCTCAGCCTCCCAAGTAGCTGGGACTATAGGTGCCTGGCTATTTTTCTGTTGCAGTTGTCATTGTTGTTTAGCTGGCCCAGGCTGGGTTTGAACCCACCACCCTTAGAGCATGTGGCCAGGGCTGTAACCACTGTGCTACGGGCACCGAGCCTTGAGCTTTCTCCTTTAAGACCTTATACCTACACACACATAGCCAGATGATTTAGAAGAGCTATTGATCCTTCCTTACACGTCTCCTCTGATGAACTTACTAGAAGTAAGTCACCCACACATTGTGACACAGCCACTCCTGGAAACATGAAGGCTCTGAGGTTCTGAGTACCGAACAGACGAGGGCTATCTCTAAAACCCTGAGGTAAGAAGCCAGGAATGGGCTTAGCACATATAGCTCAGCAGCTGAGGGGCCGGCCACATACAACAGGGCTGGTGGGTTTGAACCCAGCCTGGGCCTGCTAAACAACATTGACAATTACAACAACAACAACAAAATAGCCAGGTCTTGTGGCAGGCTCCTGTAGTCCCAGCTACTGGGGAGGCTGAGGCAAGAGAATCATTTGAGCCCAAGAGTTTGAGGTTGCTGTGAGCTGTGATGCCACAGTACTCTACCCAGGGCAGCAAAGTGAGACTCTGTCTCTAAATAAATAAATAAAATAAAACCTTGAGTTAGAACTACAGCAGGTTAGCCATCCATCTGGATCTGGGGGGTCTTTAAAAGCAAAAATGAATCTGAGTGTAAAGGGATACTGAAAAGGCAGCTACTCAGGAGGCTGAGGCAAGAGAATCGCCTAAGCCCAGTAGCTGGAGGTTGCGGTGAGCTGTGATGCTACAGCAGTCTACCGAGGGCAAT